CTAATCCCTCAGAGCCCCTGCCCTAACACCTCTTCCTCCACATTTTTACCCACTGTACCATATGGCCCTTCTAACAACAACAATAACATTAACACCTAGCAATGTTGTCCATTCCATTTATTTAGTGATGAGCACTGTGCTAAGGGCTTTCTACATATTTAATTCTTCCCCCAGTCCCTGAAAAATATATTATATTAGCCCCATTTTCCACACAGGGAAACTGAGGCTTGGAGAAGTAGGGACTTGTTTGAATAAATGGTTGGGCTGTGGTTGAACCTGGGTCTGACTCCTGACTTGTTTTCTCAATGCCTCCACAATCCCTGGGCTCTGGGTAACAGGGGTAATGCTGAGAGAGAGGAGACATGGGGAGGGTATGATAGGCTCTGCTGTCTGGGGAAAAAATAGGACTGAGCTTCAGGGAAGTAAGAGGTTTCCTCAAAAACACACAGCAGAGCAGAACTAGCAGTAAATAAAGGGCCAGATGGCAGAAAGCCCAGACAGCCAGACTGAGCTCTGTCCATAACACATTAATTCAGCAAACACTTATTGAGCCCTTACTGTATGCAGGGCCAGGCAGGGAACTCAGGATGACCAAGGCCAACCTGGGCCCCACCCTTGCCAACTCACTGTCCAATCAGGGCAATGGATGATAAATAAGAAATAAATATGGTAATTTGGTTGTTGACAGTGCAACAATAACAAAAAAATAAAAGAAGGTGAAGCAATGGTGCCTGGGGTGGGGGTTGACTTTGTGGTTGAGTGATCAAGGAGTGCTTCTCAGAGGAGGCAGCATTTGAGCTAGGACCAAGTGAACATCTGGGGAGAGTGTTCCAGGTGAGGGAGGTGCAGGAGCAAAGGCTCGGAGACAGGACTGTGCCTGTTCAAGGTGACCAATGTGACTGGAGCAATGGTACCAGAGACAGTATGGGGAGATGAGGTGGGAGAGGTCACAAGAGCCCTGTGACCTACCTGCAGAGTCAGTCCTCCATTCTCCACCAGTGCCTGGGGCCCTCTTCCTGCACCCGCTGCTGTGTTCTCAGGAAGACTGGGCTGGGGAGTGTGTGTGTGTGTGTGTGTGTGTGTGTGTGTGTGTGTGT